TTTACACAATTGATGTGTGTATGGATTGTGATAAGAGATGTATGAGCCCCTAATAAAATGATTTAAAAAATTTTTTAAGTGCTTTTATATTTAATATCAATTTTCTTTTTTATTGTGGTGAAAACATACATAAAACATTTATCAATTCAATAATTTTAACATGTATAACTCAGTGACATTGTGTTCATCTTGTTCAATTTTATGTTGTTGTTTTTTCAATTTTATTTTAAAAGGTAGCACTAATTTTGGTTCTAAATTGGAACTCCAATCCCAATCCCAACCCCAAATACGAACTCTAGACTCATAGTCCTAAAATCATAAGATCTGTATATGATCCAATTCATACACCATGTGCCCCAGTCTTTCTTTTTTATAGACACTTTATAAAGAAAAGCAGGTAAAATCATATCACTTTCTCACTACTTTTTAAAGTATTAGCCACCACTGTTAGTCTCTCTGACTCGTGAACTCACCTTGGACCTTTTCCTAATGTGACTACTATTGGAACATTCCGTGCATCTTAGTTTCTAAAGCACTAGCAAGTAGCTTTTCTCCAGCCTTTTAGAAGATGTTTTTAATTGCCTGCTTATTGTGTGCACAAAGAAGTTACCTGCTTAGCATTCTGCGTGTGTTGTCTCAGCCCTCCCTCTGGTGTCTTGTGTGAAAGAAGAGTAGGAAGAAAAACAAACAGTTTTTCGAGCTCTTGTGTGAGCCTTTATCCAGTCAGCTTGGTATGGCTGGGAGCTTCTTTCAGTTCATCAAGCAGACTATTGATTTCCTTAATATCTCCTCCCCAGACTGGAGCGCACTCCCAAATCAGCTCCTCCGTTTGGCTTTGTTTGTATTATGAATTAATTTGGGCTTTGCTTATCCCACCATCATGTTTCTCTTCACCATTTTAAACAACTTATCAAAATTCTCAGAGTCTTGCTCTATCCACCCCACCTCCCTCTGGTAGCATATTCTCTCTCCTTGACCGAAGAGAACACCCATCAACCCTCTAACCCAGTGGTTCTCAACCTGTGGGTTGTGACACCTTTGGGGTTCAAACGACCCTTTCACAGGGGTCACCTAAGACATTCAGAAAACACATATTTCCGATGGTCTTAGGAACTGAGACACTGCTCCTCTCTCCTCTCCAGGAGGGTCCGCCCACATGCAGATACGCCCACCTACTAGTACCGCGTGTGAAAACCGTTCCCCATGCTACACTATGCTTCAAGACAAAATTTCACTTATTTGTAACTAGAAATAAATATTTCACAATATATAATTACATATTGTTTTGTGATTAATCACTATGCTTTAATTATATTCAATTTGTAACAATGAAAATATATCCTGCATATCAGATATTTTCATGACAATTCATAACAGTAGCAAAATTACAGTTATGAAGTAGCAATGAAAATAATTTTATGGTTGGGAGTCACCACAAAATGAGGAACTGTATTAAAGGGTCGCAGCGTTAGGAAGGTTGAGACCCACTGCTCTCACCTATTGCTTCCCGCTTCCACCCTTGGTCACCACTGAAGTCTGCTTTTTTTGGTATGAAAACCTTTTATGTATATATATATATATATATATACACACACACAGTAGTCTTTTACACTATCTGTCCTTTTGTTTTCAACTAACTTCACCGGATTCTCATTTTTTTAATAGTAAAATATATATATATATTTCCAACAGTTTTATTGGCATATAATTCACATACCATCCAATTCAGTAGTTCTGTCACATCTAGAAGAGTTGTACAATCATCCTCACGTTCCGTTTTAAGATATTATCTTCTTTCTTGTACTCGTCTTTTCACAACAGGGAGCCCTGGTGGCATAGTGGTTAGGCGGTGGGTTGCTAACCTCAAGGTTAGCAGTTCAAAACCACCAGGCGCTAGGAGGCAGAGTTCCAGTCTCAGAAACTCACTGGGGCAGTTCTGCTCTGTCCTATAGGGTCCCGCTAAGTCGGCATTGACTCAATGACAGTGAGTTTTTTCTTTTTTTTTTTTTCACAACATTTTTTTATTTTGATCATTTTGTTAGGGGCTCTTCCAGCTCTGTTAGCAATCCATACCTCAGTTGTATCAAGCACATTTGTACAGACATTGCCATCATCATTTCTAAAACATTTTCTTGCTACTTGAGCCCTTGGTCACAACATATGTTTTTTTTGTTTGTTTTTTAATCATTTTACTGGGGCCTCTTGCAGGTCTTATAACATTCCATACATTAATTGTATCAAGCACCCACTTATTTTCTTTATCCAATATATGTTTTAAAGCATGTTTTAGATGGTTCAGCATCTGGAAGACAGTGCCCCACACTGAATTCTCTGGATTTCCCTGTCCTGCCCGCTCCGTTTCTGGTGGCCCCTCTGTGACAATCTCTCAGCTCACAGGGACGTCCCCTTGTCCTGCAGGAAAGGGAGATCTCTACCGCATGCATGTAGCCTTCACAGTTGGTGTCTTGTGCTCCACAGATGCTCTGCGAAGGATGCCCAGCTGGGCCTCTGTGCACATTCTAACGAGGCTGTACCTGCTGCTCCAGGTAAGCACTGCACTCATTTTGGAAAAAAGAATATTAGGAGTTGGAGTCTTTCATAACCTTTGAGACCGATGATCCATTTGATTAGATGAAGTCTGTGGAAATAATAATTATTATCATAACCAACTCTCCATATGGCCATATGTGTATGTGTGTATTTACACTTTAAATATACATATATTCTCTCTCCTAGTTTAATCTCTACTAGTCCTGTGAGCTATTTATTGTGAGCAGTTTAACTGATGAGAAACACAAGCTTAAAAATCTAGCACCTTGCTTTAAGTCGTGTTAGGAAGGGGGCCGCTAGCAGAGTGGTAGAGTTCTTCTTCCTCCCCTTTGCCACCCCTGGTGGCTGTCTTCTGAGGAGACCCTGGCCATCCTCAGATGGTGTGGAGTCCAGCGGCTACAAAAGGCACCCTTTGTGTGCCATGTCCTCCATCCTTCCCGCCCTTGGCAGCCCTGCTCATCGGCCCTCTCTTCGCCCTAGGGGAAGGACTCCATGCCAGCTACGTCATCGGCGGACTCCTCAGTATTCTGCTGATTCTGTTGGTGATTGCGGCTTTGATGCTGTACAGGTAACCTCGGCCCCACTGCAGGGGCCTCCTGCCTTGCCTGCAATCGTCCAGAAGCTTCCGAGTTCACTGATTGGATCTTTGACCTGCCTTATCTCAAGGTTGTTGGGACCCTGGTCAGAGAAACAGAGGGGAAAGACGGACACCTGAAGATTTATTCTTCTTCCCCGGTCAGGGGATCTGATTTTAATGGCCACAGAAACCCTTGGCATTTTCTTGATAGACTGGGTGGATGAGGGTCACACAGGAAGAGGCAAGGCTGGGATTCCAGCACCTTTGCTTTTTCTATTGCCCCGCACTGCCTCCAACGGTTGGAATTGGACATTATTTTCTCTCTGCACAAATACACTTTATACAATACCGGTTGACATATCATCACTCAGTAGGAACCATCCTGGGAAGGTAAAACGTATCATTTTTAATGTAGCATCTTTTCTATGCCCCTCTGTCTTTTTTATTTTCCCCCAAAGTGTAGAAGCACAGCTTGCAGCAAAATCTCTGGGTTCTGCTAATCAGAATAATAACAATAATAATATTGAGAGCAGCTCCCATTTAATAAATATGTATCAGTGACACAACAACTTTGTAAATACAGCTATTGGTGTAATTTCTCACTGTACAGATAAGGATGAGATAATATTCACCAAGTTTCCAACTAGTAATTAATAAAAGTAGGATTGAAATATAGGTCCATATTGACACCAAAGCTTGGTATGTTAGTTACCTATTACTGTCCAATAAATCACCCTAAAATGCAACTGCTTAAACAACAGAAACATTTCTTACCTCTGCTACTGTGGTCTCTAAATCCAGATGCGACATAAGCATGTGCCTCTTTCCCAGGCCTTGGCTTCTCCTCTTGGGCTGCCATCCAGGTCAGTGCTGAGGTTGCAGCCTCATCTCAAGACTCGACTGGGGAAGGATCCCTTTCCAAGCTCACTCCTGTGATTATTGGCAGTATCCGGTTTCCACAGGGCGCCTTGCAGCATGGCAGCTTGCTGTCCCCAGCACAATTGCCAGAAGAGAGTGGGGGGTGGGGGGGGGCGGAGCGCAACCCAAGAAGAAACCAGTTTCTTTAGAACCTAGTCCACGAGCCGCTGCTTTTGTGTATTCTATTTATGAGAACCGAACCTCTCGTCACCTCGCCTGTCTGTCACTTCAGGGGGAAAGAAGTCTAGAAGAACGTGACTCCCAGGAAGTGGGCACCTCAGAGGCCATTTTAGAGGCCATCGGCCACATCCTCCCCAGGTGCCACCCCCGTAAAGATCCTAACTCGTTTCTTATCCTCTTTCCTCTTAAAGACACAAGAAATCTAAGTTCACCGACCCCGGCATGGGAAACCTGACCTACAGCAACCCCTCCTACCGAACTTCCACTCAGGAAGTGAAGATCGAAGCAGCCCCCGAACCCGCCATCTACCGTCAGTTGTGCAACAAGAAGGAGGTGAGGACCGAGATTTGCAGTCAAGCGTTTTTTCAATTCACCAGAGTACATCCATTAAGGAGGCTGGGCAGTTCTAGCCACCATTTGAACAGTTGGGGGTTTGGGGTGTTGATTTTTTTCACACAGTGAAAAAGAACTAAAAATAACTTGGGTTTCTGGAAAGGTCTACAGTGGTTCTCAACCTGTGGGTCACGAACCCTTTGGGGGGGGGGTGTCAAGCGACCCTTTCACAGGGGTCGTCCGATTCATCACAGTAGCCAAATGACAGTGATGAAGTCGCAATGAGAATCATGTTATGGGTGGGGGTCACCACCACGTGAGGAACTGGATGAAAGGGGGGCGGCTGGGGAAGGTGGAGAGCCGCTGGTCTGGAAGCTTTGGCCCGTAGAGCTTAGAAGGATCAGCTCTGAAGGCATTTGAATGTGCAGCTCCCTGCCAGGACCGTCTTGCGCCCCTGGGGTTGTCATTCCTCTGCCACGACTGGGGTCCCAGGGGAACAAGGAAGCCTTCCTAGACTCCCAAACTCCACAGCTGTGACCGCACCTTCTCCTCTCCCGTGCAAGCTGGGGGCCCAGGGCTGGGAATGGCCACTTCCCTTTGTTCTTCCTCTTCCCAAGGGGGTCTCATGGAACTTCTCTACACTGCTAGGTTTTCCATGCTTTTGGGTGTGTTTTTTTAAACACATTTGTCCCTTCGTTAATTGTTTTGTGTTGTTTTTGATGAAAGTTTAGGCATGAAAAAAACAGCCCTGTATTCACAAGGGTTCTATATCCTGGCTCTTTACACTGCCCACGTCTGAGATAACCCATGTTTATCTACTTTTTTATGTTGTTAAAGCTAAATGTATATGAAATAATCATGTTGTTAGTATTTTTCCTCCCAAGTCCTATAACCTTTCTCCAGGAGTTACTCTTTGTGAGGCTATAATCGGTCTGCTCTGTCGGCCTCTCGCACAGCCCACCCCCACAGGGCTCCCCTGCAAAATGAATATGCTTGCTCCCAAAGGCCAGTGCTTTCTGGATCCCTGAGAGTTTTCTCTATAAGCTGAAAAAGAACCTCCAGGGGTATCCTGTGGTTCTGGGGCTGGTAGGCCCCTTCCTCAAATAATCTTCCCGAAGGAATAACTCTGGGGGTCCTTGGGGATCCCCAGGGTTTGATGTCCCCAAAGAGAACCTCAGTCAGGGCGGTAGGCTGGACATGAAACCGTGTGACCTCTTGTCTTCTGTTTTATGCTTCTTCCTCAGCAGCTCTTTCACCCCTCTGATAGTCTTTCACCTTTTCTCTTCTGATTTCTTCTTGATTTCAGGTACCTGTTGCTGTGTGTTTGCAGAGGGAGTGGTGTCCCCCCAAATTGCTAGTGCCAAGACCCCCTCTTCTCCCTGACTTACCCAGAGTGTGTGTGAGACGAAGACTCTTCCGTGGCCTGCTTCTAATCTACTAATTTCAGCTTGGAGAGTGTGTTGGATGAATGGAACTGGGTGTGTGTGCGTGTGTTTCCTTGTGTGCTGTGTCTCTGCATGATGGCAAGAACCATATTTTACATGCATTTTTGCAATCATCAAACACCTAACACTGTATCGTCCTTAATAGCCACTCAAAACCAAATTCACTGGCACTGAGTGAATTCCAATGCATAGGGACCCTAGAGGGCAAGGCAGACCTGCCCTTGTGGGTTTCTGAGACGATAACTCTTTAGGGGAGTAGAAAGCCGCCTCTTTCTCCCATGAAGCAGCTGGTGGTTTGGAACTGTTGACCTTGTGGTGGCCGGCCCAACACATAACCCACTAGGCCACCAGGGGTTCCTACTATTGAGGTTCAATAAATATCTGTGGGATTAGTTATTGCTAAAGGAGAGCAGTCGGCTCTTGGCAGGAACATTATCCCAGGCACAGGGATCTAAGCAGTGGCCCATTTTCTGGGAGTGGCAGCATGTCGGTTGGTATTCCCCGGAAACCAGAAGCCAGGCTACCCTTTGAGGGACCTGTAAGGGAGAGGCCTGAGCAGATCTCAACTCTGTCCTTGGGCCAGTCCCAGCTTGTTTGGAAACGGCCCCGGGCTCACGGGAGCAGACGCCGAGTGAGCCGGTTGCTGTTGGGTCAATGCTCACACATCGTGGCCCTTGTGTACCACGGGAGAACGGTGCTCCACCATCGGTCCTCACAGCCGATTGTCCCGGAAGCCGAACGCCACTGGCTTCTCTCCCAGGTGGACCCAGGCTTCTCTTCTGGGTGGACCCCACCAGCCAGCCTGTTCGCAGCCAAGCGTGCTGGCAGGACCACCCAGGGATTCCAGAACCAAAGTAACACTCCCACCCTGAAAAAGTTCCAGGTGGGAGGGACCCAGTGGATGGACACTTGGGACCCTTTCCTAGAGTCCTGCTGCTTTGCCGCCCACGTTATGTCCCTCACACCTCCAAAAAGAAGAGAGAATTCAGAACAAAACAGCATATCCCGTTGGTCAAAATCCTGAATAAATACACACTGAAGTGCTTCAGCCGATTGCTTCTGATTGGTGATGTCAGCATGGTGTTCACGACCACGTAATGACAGCTAATGTGTTGTACGTAGTGCACGCTACTCAATTGCATTCTGGGTATCCCCTCATTGAACCCTCAGAGCAGTTGCTTGGGAGGTGTGGGTGCTGTTACTCTTCCACACGCTGCAGAGGGGCAGGGAGTCTCAGGGATGTTAAGTTGTTTGCCCACGGCGATGTGTAGGTGGTGAGTGGTGGGTGCCGTGGTCTCTCTCCTGTGGGCATCACTCGCACAATCATAGTCATCATCATCGCAGCTGCTCCTTTCCTTGTAGGCTGGGCCACGTAGATTTGCTCTGATCACATGCCCCTTTGCTTGGTGGGCTCTTTGTACTTCTCCTGGGCACGCCCACCACGCCCACTTCCTCTTTCAGTTCCCTGGGAGAGCCTTTCTGGGGAGCCCACCTGACCGTGTCTCCTCCCTCTCCGACCTAGGGTGGGCCTGACCCTAACTACACCAAGGAGAAGATCAAGATCGTGGAGGGGATCTGCCTCCTGTCTGGGGACGGTGCGGAGTGGGGTGACCTCAAGCAACTGCGGAGCTCGCGGGGCGGCCTCCTGCTGGATCACGTGTGCATGAAGACGGACACGGTGTCCATCCAGGCCAGTTCTGGCTCCCTGGATGACATGGAGACAGAGCAGCTGTTGCAGGAAGAGCAATCTGAGTGCAGCAGTGTCCACACTGCAGCCACCCCAGAAAGACGGGGCTCTCTGCCGGACACGGGCTGGAAACATGAACGCAAGCTCTCCTCTGAGAGCCAGGTCTAAATGCCCCAGGCTCCTCCCCTCCCTGCCTGTACCTCCTCCTCTGTGGACTGCCCGTCCTTGTGCCTGCTTATGCAACAGGCGCCCCTCCTGTGTGCTCGTCCTTCCTCCCACCCTGAAATCGCTCCCATGCCCTCCACGGGAGCCGTCCCCACCTGAGACCATGATCACCTGTGCACAAGAAACGATGCCACATCTGAGAATTTAGACCGGGATGTTACCACGCACCTCGACTCTTGTACCCACAAGTCTGGGCCCCCGGAAACTGGGCTGGAGAATGATTCCTTGTCAGTGCAGAGGTCCCCCTCCCTCGCCACCCCCAGATCCATACCTGTAGTGCCTGCCCCACAGCAGCTGATGGTGCAAGACTGCACGCTCGCCTGTCAGACCTGGCGTGACCACTGCTCTGAGGACTTGCTCACCAGGGGCTGGGGCAAGGACTTGTGGGTAAAGAGATGGCTGAAGGACAGAGGCTGAGAGGAGGAAGAGTCAGCCCAGCTGGGATGGGCCTCTGGGAAAACTCCATCCGCGAGGGTCTTGGCAATAGCAGAGAATTTGGGGTGGGGGGAGGGCTAGTTGACCAGAGTGTCCACTGCTGGCAGTGGATGTCATTCTCGGCCTTGGAGTCCTTTTTGTTCAGCTGCGGAGATGGCAGTGAGATCCGGGGCGGGCTGAGGTGGCTTAAGCTGTTCTTGCTCCTGCTAGCCTCTCTGGAGGTTTCTCTCCCTTCAGATGACTAGGGGGATGGGGAGGTCCTTATCACATGACTACGGGCGAATATGAATTCCCTGCCGCCACGGGCCAGTACCTTTCCTAAGTCTTGTATTCTTCAGCTACCAGGTGGTGTGCCAGCGGCTTCAGTGAATGGTGGGGCTCAGGATGGCTCTGTGTCCCTGCAAGCTCTATTTAAGATGCCCTGTGGAGGCCACACCCAGTAGCACACTACCTGCATGTGAATCTTCTCCCACGCTCTCCCGTCAGTCTCTGGGATGCTGAGGAAAGAGAACCAGAAACAGCTGTTCGAAGAGGCCCCAGAAGTTTCTATCAGTAAAACGAGCGATAGGGTGAGAGACTTGGGTACACCCATAAGGTTGAGCCTCCTGTGTCCTTTCTCAAGTGCTCAGGGATCGAAGGTGGTGGACAAGGGCCCTGGGGTTCTGATATGAGGTTGCCATTCCAAGCCTCTTCTCGGCTCAGTGGCTCACTTTCCTCGCTGGGATGCCACCACTCAGGGGCATGCTCATTCACACAGAGGGCACGGCTCTCAGCCCATAGTGGGCAGTGGACACCCTTGCTGTCCTCGAGGCTGCTCATGCCTGGCTCTTCACTGTGTTGCCTAGTTAGCTCTTTCGGACCTAGCCGTGTGACACCTGCAGTCTCCAAAGTCCTGTGGTGAGGAGGGCTAATGAGAGGCGCAAGGCGCCAGCAGAGTGGAAAGGGAGCGAGCCCTGTTGGTGAAGTAGACCCAGACCTCTTCCACCCAGGAATCGGACATGGCGGGAAAGGGTGACGGGCTTCTCAGGAAGACTTCCAGATTGGAAACATCCATGGATTTTGAGATGGCAAATGTGCGGGTAAAGGAAGGACAAGACCAAGCCTTTTCTGGTCAGTTCTAACCGCTTGACAAAGGTGCCAGGTCCATCGCCCTGCCATCAGTTGTTGGCCCCGGAGATCTGGGCCCACACGTTATAGCCAGCCTAGAAGGCTCTTGCCTTACCTGGAAAAGGTCGGATGCCACTTCCTGGAGGAAAGGGGACATTTCACATGGAACGGGGCAAAGGGGCAGCACTCTTGAGCCCTGAGACGCCTGGTTGGGAAGGAGAAAGACCTGCAAAGGGGGACAGATCTTATTGCACTTGGGCTGTTCAGAATGTAGAAAGGACATATTTGAGGAATTATCTATTTGAGCACTGATTTACTATGTAAAAAAGCAAAACTCTGTCCTAAGCTAATGGAAGTGATTCTCCCGCACTCGTGTAATGGTTTTAACGTTACTCACTGGCGAGATTGGACTTTCTGGAGTTATTTAACCACTATGTTCAGTATTTTAGGACTTCATGATTATTTAATATAAATCTAGCTTTACTTAATCACCTTGCCTGGCTTGGAGTCATGACTAGCACGGCACCTGCTCGTCTGGCAGACCTCACCCCGGGGTCCTTTGGAGCTGTGGGGTGATGAGGAACCATAGGGTGGGAGGTTCCTGGCTAGACGGTCAGCTCATCTTGAGGAGATGTGGTCGAGACCAGTCTTCTTATGAAATCTATTATTTCCTCTAGAGGTTTTGGGGTTTTTTTTTTGGGGGGGGCAGAGGGGGCAGGTGGGGAGGGCACTTCTTGAGCTGCTATCAAGACTCAGTGGGAAGGGGCAAGTGTCATGGTCCTTAGTGATGCCTCCCTCTGGCTCCTGAAGGATCCCTCACAGCACGTGTGCCCTTCATCTTCGATCTCGGTCCTACGTCCACGAGGACGTCAGTGCCACACTGCAGGGACTGGCACCGGCACGGCGGCCAACTGTAGGAAGCAAACGTACTGGGATGGAGACAAGGGGAGCTCATTTCAGACCCAGCTCTGTCTGATCTTGGTCAAGTTTCACGGTTCCTCAGCAAATAGGTCAAAGGAACACGGAAGGCTTCTTTTCTTCCTAAAAGCAAAGAAAAACTGTCTTCTCATATCTCCTTTACTACATTACAAAGCTGGACGAAGGAGTTGGAGCTTCCTTCTCTGTCCATCATACCCCTCGAAGACTGAGAATCTTCACTAGTTCCGATGCCAGATGCAGAACTCGGTGCCAAGGCTCAGCAGTTGACTTTCTCAGCTATGATCCATGCCCTATTCATCTACTATGAGTCAGGCCCTGCCCAAATGTGAACAAGAAAGACATCCTCACACAGGGTTTAGAGTCTAGCAGGCACACACGCACAAAAGCAAAAAAGATTGAAGCCTCTTATATTTATGACAAGAGAATTAGATGTAAAGGACAACCGAGGAGAAGCAGGGATGCTAGAACAAAAACAAGTGGACGCGATTGAGGATAATCACCATTGCCCTATCCCCCACCATTGTTAAATATTTCCAATGGAGGGCGGGAGGTCATTTTCAACCTTTGCATTCAAGCTGACACATACACCCACCCTACTAGATTCCTGTAGGCAGTGCTCCCTCCCAGAGCTAGAAACACAAAAGACCATTCCAAAGTTGGACGAAAATGTACCAAACACAGCATTTGGTTGGAAAACTGAAGATGTTTCTGGGAGAGTAAAGTTCAGTGAATGCGTTCTATAGCCACATTGGCCAGTTAAATCAGCCACTCAACATTGCCAGTGTCTTAAAGGCCCCTGCTCACCTGTGCTGCCTCATCCGTCACTCCTGCAGAGGTTGAGAGATGAGGGTCAGCTGGGACTCATGGTTCCGGTGCTAGCACGAATTCAACCCGCTGCAGAGACTTAACAGTGGCAACAATACACCTTCTGTTTTCAGGCTCTCAGTTTCCTGATCAGGCCAATAAAAAAGGTTGAAGCCAGGTCATAGGGGCCCAAACGTATTTGGCCTACTGCCCCCATTTCAGAATAAAAAAAAAAATTACTCTGTGCCCCCTTGGCAATGAAGCACTTTCGTATGAGAGCCCATAATCTAGGATAAAGTGTAGGTATCTGCTTTTGTGTGCCCCACCCCCACCCCTCCTACACCGTTCCAGTGCTCCTGAGGGGGTGATATCACCCACTTTGGGAAACATTGTACCAAAAGGTTTCTGAAGTCACTTCTAGCCCATATTTTGTAATTGTGCTTTTTCCAGGAGATCTCAGGGATGAAAGTGGAGTTGAGAATTTTTGCTAGTCCTCAGGATATAAAGTTTGAAATGAGGGAGAAGGCAGGTTAAATGATAACACTATGTAGGTTTTTGCAAACTGATTACATGAAAGCATGCAGTCCCAAGCCCTTCTTTCGATGTGGTAATGAGCACATGGTGCAGCCTCCGGTGGAAAAAGAATCTGTGTGGCCCACAGAACGATTTCCATGACGTGAAGACCAAACCATTTACCCACCCTGGGCCTGAAGACAACAGCAAATGCTGCATAGAAACTTGGAAAAAACACATGGAGAAGAGTGGAGGGCACGCAAGCTTCCAAGTATCAGGCCCTGACCTTCAAGATCGCCAATAGACTTGAGTTTTCTGATCTCTGTTGATGGACCGAATGATAAAAGACCTGTGCTTGAATTCTTTTCCTGGCTCCTAACATACCACTGTGTGACCATGACCCAAAATGACCCACTTACTCGGATGTGTGCTTTAGTATGATTCAGGCGATCTTTGTTTTGAAACCTCCCCTCGCCCATTTCTTTTCCCCTCCACACGGTCCTGTGAATGGCTGAGAGGCTGGTAGAGTTCAGCATAGGGGATAGTTTGCTTTCCAGCCAAGGCTCCAGCTCACAGATTTGGACTCAACATGGTGTCCAAGCAGACAGACCGCCCAATGAAAGGTGGAAGTTGAAACCCAAGGCTGACATTTACCCCAAGCTGCACAGGCTGCTTATTACATTTTATGAGTCATAAGGAAGGTGAGAATTCTCGCTTACCCTGCTCACCTGAGTAGCTTTTCTTGCAGCCCCCTAAGAGCCAGTTGACAGGCTGCTAGCAAGGTCCCATCTCTGCCCTCCACCTCCTCCCATTTTGCCGGGGCTGATGAGTCTGTGGTCAGAGTTCTGGGACAACCTGCATTCTTGGGGCGATGACTAGAAGGGGAAGCTCCAAAGAAAAAAGGTATGCAGACCTTTGTTCAACCAGCATCAATTCAAAGCAACCAAGTACAAGCTAGACTAGACCTTGCTCTTGTGAAGACCGGTTTGAGGCACTAAGTCCCACAGCCACTTGAAATTGGTTGCAAGGCCAGCACCGCTAGCTCCAGTGAAGAAGCTCCTCTAGGCTGGAAAAATGGGTCCATGCCCCATGGTAGTGATGTTGTGACAGGAGTACAGTTTGTGCTTAAGATGGAATGAGCACTGTCCCAGCTCAAAGCAGGTTTTTGCAGAAATGCACAGTAGAGTTATTCACCAGTCACAAAGTTTGGCATTTGTTTCCTTCTTTTTTTTAATTTTTATTATTATTTTTTTTTATTTAACATTTTATTAGGGGCTCATACAACTGTTATCCCAATCCATACACACATCAATTGTGTAAAGCGCATTTGTACATCGTTTCTCAAAACATTTTCTCTCCATTTAAACCCCCGACATCAGGTCCTCATTTTTCCCCTCCCTCCCCGCTCCCCCCTCCTGCATGAGCCCTCGATAGTTTACAAATGGGTATTTTGTCATATCTTGCCCTGTCCGACGCCTCCCCTCATCCACTTTTTGTTTCCTTCTTCTAGTTACAATAACATAAAGTGTTTACTTTGATCTCTAATGCCTACAAGGCATGAGTGCCCTATGAATGCCCTTCTTGTGTAGTAGAACTATGGAGAGGCTCTTGGAATAAAGAAGGCACAAATAACACTAATAAATACGTAGAGAAATGCGATTTCATGATAATCCCGGACTATAAAAGATCACTGGCCAAGCATTTATTAGACACGTACTATGAAGAGAGTATCAGACGAGGTTCTTTCAAAGCCCTACATGACCTGCCTCCCTTCTCCCCCCATTATCTGTCACACACTTCATTATTCCAACTCATGGTGTTGTTAGGTGCCATCGCGTCAGTTCTAACCCATAGCGACCCTCTGTACAGCAGAATAGAGCACTGCCCAGTCCTGTACCATCCTCAGTTGTTCCTACCATAGAGCCCATTGTTGCAGCCACTGTGTCAGTCCATCTCCTTGAAGGCCTTCCTCTTTTTTTGCTGCCCCTCTACCAAGCATGATCTCCTCCTCCAGGGACAGGTCTCTCCTGATTACATGTCCAAAGTATGTGAGTCGAAGACGTACATCCTTGCCATCCCCGCTACGGAGCATTCTGGCTGTACTTCTCCCCAGAGATGTGTTTGTTCTCTTGGCATTCCATGGCACTTTCAGTATTCTTCACCAGCACACGTCGGATGAATTGATTCTTCCTTATTCAGTGTCCAACTTTCACGCGCATACAAAGCAGTCGAAAGTACCATGGCTTGGTCAGGCGCACCTTGGTCCTCAAAGTAACCTCCTTGTTTTTCAAGACTTTCAAGAGGTCTGGTGCAGCAGATTTACCCAATGCAGTGTGTCATTTGATCTCATGACTGCTGCTTCCGTGACCTTTGATTGTGGACCCAAGCAAGATGAAATCCTTGACAGCTCCAATCGTGATGTCCCCGCTGGTCCAGTTGTGAGGATTTTGACCTTCTTTACATGGAGTCATAATCCATACGGAAGACTGCAGTCCTTCGTCATCAGCAGGTGCTTCAAGTCCTCCTTTAAAAAGCAAGCTTGTGCCATCTGTATATCATAGATCGTTAATAACCCTATCTCCAACTCTGATGTCATATTCTTCATAGAATCCATTTTGTCCCATTTTGACTCATAGAGACCCTATGTAGGGTTTTAGAGGCTGGCTTTTAAATTCAAATAATCGCTTTATTCGATATATATACTATATACCAGGGGGTCCTCAAACCTTTTAAACAGAGGGCCAGTCCACTGTCCCTCAGACCTGTTGGAGGGCCGGACTATAGTTTAAAAATAAGACTATGAACAAATTCCTATGCACACTGCACATATCTTATTTTGAAGTAAAAAAACAAATGGGACGAAAACACCCGGCGGACCAGATAAATGTCCTCCATGGGCCACATATGGCCCGCGGGCCGTAGTTTGAGGATGCCTGCTATATACATATAAATTTATTGTGTATACATATGTATATAAAACCAATGCCACTATGAGATGTCAGGAATACAAATAAGAACAAGATGTTTTCCCAGAATTGCCTTTACAAGAGCATCTACCCACAGAGCAGTCGGTGGTTTTTGAACCTCCATTCTTGTGATTAGCAGTCCAACGCTTACCCAGTAGAGCCACCAGTGCTCCTTATATCAATTTGAAAGTCACTTCCCTGGACAGATGGGATAAAACTGGCTGTAGATGAGACCTCATCCACCGTCTGCTCCCGCTGCTTACTGT